ACGTTGCACTGACCCGTTCTGCTCCGACACTCTGATGGGGGAGAGGCGAGTTTTGTCTCTCAGGTAGAGGTTCGTGTTGATAAACTCAATAACAACAAGTCTGTATTTTGTTGTTTTGACCACATTAATGATGAAAAGGTCCTCTAAGTCTTCTGGTGCAGCTAATAGAAAATGCAGAAAAGAGGTGGAGGAAAAGCAGTCTCAGTGCAAAGGTACTGTATGTCATTGTTTTTAATCTTAAAAACTTGATAGTTAGCTACAGGCTAACCTATGGTAAACAAAGTGACCTAGTAATGCTACTGTGTCCTCACGCTGAGGTTGCGCTGTGTAGAGGCACATCCCCCAGGTGGTGGATTTGGGATCCCTGTTCCTGGTGTACAGGGGTGTGCCCAAATAAGCTGAAAGGCGAATAGGGTACCACCCGGGTACCATCAACACTCGTCAGTCGTCTACCCCCGGTGAATGGCAAGTTGACAAGACTTTCAAAATGAGCGGACAAGGGACCGGCCCCCAGTACCCAATAGAAGGGGGTTCTAAAATCTCTGGGGACCCAGCCTGAGGCAAATTGGGCACGTATGCTGCAGGTGGTCCCATGACTGTGCCTCTGGCCTGTCTGGTGGGGAACCAGGCTGGATGGGCCAGTAATATAGTGACTAGAACAACCTTTACTCTGGCCCCAGGACCTGATGCTTATGTGTTGGGTCCTGGGCAACCGGAGGGTTTAGTGCCCTGGGGCTCAGTGACGGTGATGGCTTCTGCCACTGCTGTCGCTGTGTCTAAAGGGAGTACCCAGTGTGAGTGTAGCCCCTTGACTGCACCCCAGCGGGGAGTGGTCGGAGCCTCACAAGTGCTGGGGTCTGCAGGGGATAAGGACACTGACATGATGTTGGTGTCCTCTGATGGAGAATCGGGTCTTAATCTCTGTAGTTTTAGGGATGATGGAATTTATACAGAGCAACTTGCATCATTGTAAAGATGCAAGTACCTGCTTTAGTAAGATGCATACAGGCTTATGCTTGATCCAGGAACTTTGGATAGTTAAGTCTATGGTACGAGGCCTGGGATTCCCTGGGGGCACACTTCTATATGATGTGAGCAGCCGCAAACCCAGAGCAGCAGTGGTCCTGACATGAGGTTTAAGGTACATGGCACTGCCCCACCTAACAACAGGTGATGCTGTAACAGTGCAGTGTGACATTCAGGCAAATGGCGAATCTAGACCAATCACTGTAGCCTCGGTTTATTTGCCGTTTGATTCACAGCAGCCACCTCCATCCCAGGAGTTTGTGGCAATAGTCAATTATGCTAAAGAAAAGGACCTTCCGTTACTCATTGGTAGTGATGCCAATTCCCATCATGTGTGCTGGGGGAGCTCTGATATTAACCCCAGGGGCAGATCTCTGTTAGAATACTGGCTGACAGAAGACCTGCTAGTCTTTAATCAGGGCAATGTACCTACCTTCCAAACTGTTTATAGGGAGGAGGTCATTGATATAACAGTCAGGTCTATGGACCTGGTAAACAAAGTATGTGACTGAGAAGTATCCCCAGATGAAACCATATCAGACCATCAACAAATTCAGTTTAAGCTGAAGACGGGGAAACCATACCCAGTCACTTACAGAAACCCAAAAAACACTGACTGGAATCTGTTTATCAGCAGTTTATCCCAGTTGATGTGTGGGAGAATTGCCAGGATCAAAACTGTGCAAGACTGAGACAGAGGTCACAAGCATGACTGATACTGTGCAAACTGCCTATAAGTCTGCCTGTCTGGAGAAAGTCTGGAGGCCGTCAAAGCAGCCGGCCTGGTGGACTCCAGAGTTGTCTGGCCTCCGCAAGTCAGTAAGATGTAAATGGCGAAGATACAGGTCCCAACCAAGTAAAACCAGGTGGGAACAGTATGTACAGTCCCGCAATCACTATAAAAGTGTTTTAAGGGAATGTAAGAGACTTCCTTGGACAAAGTTTTGTGAAGATGTTAAAGGGCCTAGTGCTTCTTCTAAACTTTACAAACTTCTCAGAAAGGATCCAGCCAACTATCTATCCTTTATTCTTCCACTGGAAGTATCGACAGTCACACAGATAAGTGTGCTTCAGCATCTCCTCCGGGTAAACTTTCCTGTAGCAGAAGAGACTGAACAGCCTGTCAAAGTTGCTAACTCAAATCCAACAGAGGACAACTGGAACAGAGCTGCAAGTAGGTATTATTACTAAAGGCAAAGTAAAATGGGCAATTAATTTGTTTGACTCATTCAAAGCTTGTGGTCCAGATGGTATTTTTCCAGCTCTTCTCCAAAGAGGACTGGAATTGCTTCTGGACACAATTACTAGAATATATGTTGCTTGTCTAGCYAATGGCTATGTACCAGTTGGGTGGAGGACAGCAAAGGTTGTCTTTCTGCCCAAACCAGGCACATATAAAGAAGCTAAATATTTCAGACCCATCAGCTTAATATCTTTCTTGCTGAAGGGAATGGAGAGGTTCATAGATCGACATGTAAGGGATGGTTTTTTAATGCTATCACCCTTAAGTCCTAAACATCATGCATATCAGGCAGGTCTTTCTACAGAAACAGCCTTACATGATGTTGTTTTGAGAA